GCTCCGGATACAATACCCAGAACCGTATCGTCTCTAACGATACCATTCCAAGGTATGTGGGGTACCGTATCGCACAAAACAGAGCGATACGGTACGATACCGTATCGTCAAATTTGCTGACAATACAGTACGGCATTGTATTGAAGCCAAAATCCGGTGAATTAAAAGCCCAAATCGGCTTTGAATGATCCAAAGCAGGGAGATTTGGATTGGAAAGGGGATAGATGACTTACCAATCAGTCCGGATACTGCAACAACGGGGTATCCGGTATCGTATCGGAGGCCGAGTACGATACTAAATACCGTACTCTGATCGGCGATACTGCCAGAAATCATCTTGGGTATCGTAGCCGTAGCCCGGCTACGATACTCAGGGTACAATACCCAAGTGACCGGATACGGTGCCACACGATACCAATACTAGTATCGTATCTGTGGCGGCCTTGGTTCAAGAGATGTAAGTGTTACTGGCATGATGGTTATATTTGTACAATGAAAATGAAACTGACAATGGTATATTGTTCTCAAGATCATTGATGAGACGATGAAGGAAGATCTTGCAAAGGTCCATGCAAAGAAACAACGACCACGAAAGGATGCAGCCAAACATGGCTACTTTCAAGAACTGGTCTTCTCAGTTGGCAATTGGGAGGCTCTCCAAGAGGTCATCCAGGAATTGATAGTGAGCCAATTTCAATTTCATTTTATCTTAAGTATAATTTCAACCTAATAATTCTTGACTGACAAAACAGCCCCTGCGAGACTTGTGTAAGAGAATGGAGGGTGATGCCCCTACTGGATCAATGTTCCTATATGAGTACACTGAATTAATGAAATCCATTACCAATTGGCTTGATTCACTTGCAGACAATGACCCAATCTACCCAATGATCCATGAAATGTCATGTTGTACTACCATCTACATGGATGAAGCGTTGGCCTGTGATTCCCTAGTTCTAGCAACCATCTTCCATCCCAGTTTTTGCCTTGGATTCTTTTCCCTCACATTTGGAGAAGACAATGTGATGACAAATCACGCTGAAGATTTACTCCACACTCAATTCCGGGAGCGTCAGGATGAGCTCAAATCAAATTCTTCCAACAGTGATGATATCACTGTAGTCTCCTCAGGCTCATCTTTGGTCAAAGCAAAGTTACCCAAGGTATTTGAGCTCTACAAACATGCAAACACTACAAAAAATCTATGAAAATTGGATCAGTACATTCAAGGGTTAGACCCTGTGAGCTCAGAAGATGTCAACAAATTATTGGATCCAAGATTGGCTCTTGATTGGTGGGCGGTAAGTTCTCTTTTTTGTTTTTTCCCATGGTTTACATATCTGACTTTGAAATTGTTGACTACCCACAGGAGTACGAGGGGAAGTACCCTGTGTTGGCTACATTAGCTAGGGATTATCTTAGTACAATCGCCACATCTGCCCCTGGAGAGCGCCTTTTCACGGTGGCTGGGCAGGTTTGTTAAGCCAACCGGGCCTCTATGCGCCCCCAATCTATTGAGACATCAGTTGGTGCCCGAATGTTGTCTCGTCAAGGAGTCCCTCTACCTTTGGTGTTCAGCAAGGTAGGAAAGGTTCTTGATTACATTTCAAGAAAAGAAGGCAACATCAAATGATTGACATCGTGAACTCAAATTCTTGCCTCTGAGTCCAACTTTTTCTTATGTTTTTGATATCAGTCTTGACCGTCCTCCTATGCCCTTGTTTTCTTTTTCAGGTATGCCGATTGTTATGCCATATGCCTTTTATCCCTTTTGATCAATCTGATCTGTGTGAATGCAAGATTTTGTATCTAAAAGCTTTATTGATTAGAAATCATCTTGTAGTGTTTTTTCCGCTTTTAGCGCTTTGTTTTCCACCTGCAAGGGGCAGAGAAACGCCACTGACGCTTTGCTGCCGAGATTTTTGGGCCTTGGGTAATTTGCGCTGAAGTTATCAATTTGAGTTTGGGAATGACCTTGCTGCGCAGCGGCAAACTCCAAAAAAAGCTTTGCGAAGCGCAGTGTGCCAGTGTTGCCTGGGACAGTATTCCCAGGGTGTGATAGACCGACAACATCTTGCTTAGCCTGGGCTTCCTTTCTGAACAAAAAGGCCAGGATTAGAAGCATGGCCAATTGTTCCTTGGTACAGCTGACTGGGCCTTATGATGTGATACCGTTAGCACCCTACTCACTCTTGTGGCATTATTTTGCTGCTTGTTGAGAAAGCTCGGATGTGTCTTGCCAGGTCTTTATATTCAAAGGACATCAACCAGGATCCCAGAGTTAGCTCTTTAATGGACAGAAGCACGACCAGAGCTGACATACAATTGTGTCTAGATCAATGTGATAAAAGCATCTTCCGTGAGTGTTGCTCGCTTGTTCGCAGCAATTATCTCCAACTTCCTTTGCTGAACGTCTGAACCAAGAACTACGTAGGTAGTCAAAAGTTGTGGAATTGTGTGAACTCGCCTAGTAACATAATATTTGCAATTCATTCAACATCACAAATTGTATAGAGTGATGAAAAAGCCTGACCCTCCATAGCATTTGCACAACAATTTGGCTTCATCTTGACTCATTGAATCTAACTCGCCAGAGAACACAACACTGAGCCCACGGAGGCAGTCTGGCTGCCCTTCAGGTATCTTTCTTGAGCCTGGGGAGATGGAAGAGTTGAAGTGTTGCTCAGCTTAGAGAACCTCCCAATTACCTAGAGACAATAAATTATCACCTGGACAAATGACCCTTGGACCGGCCCAAAACCTTTAAACCTTGTCTTTTCTCTATTCATTGATTGGTTTAATCCTCAAGGAAACAAGAGATGTGGTGCACAACAATCAATGGGTGTCTTGGCCTTCAACTGCATGAATCTTCCACCCCCACTCTGAAACCTCATTCAGAACACCTGTGTTGCCGGAATCACTCCAGGACCAAACACGCTGGACATGACAACCATCAGCCATGTACTCAAAGACCACATAGACGACTTGCTTCTTCTTAAAGAAGGGATTATCATTGCCACATCTCAATATCCACAAGGCCGTTTAGTATAAGTTCAGTTACTCACAATACTGGGTGATATGGTTGGTATGCATAAAGTTGCGGGTTTTGCGTCTCATTCCACAACTCTCTACTGCACATGGTGCTGGGCAAAATCAAATGATGGTTTCAGGATTCATATTGGCAGACTTCAAACCAAGGCCAAGGTCCTGCACGCCGCAACCTGATCCAAAGCAGCTGTCACTTTGAGTGATAAGGATACCATTCTTAGGAAAACTGGGGTGCATTGGTCTGAACTTAACCGCCTTACCTATTGTGATCCGGTCAAAGATCTTCCAATTGGCATGATGCATAATTGGTTTGAAGGTATCCTTCAAGATCACTTTTGATATTGCTGGGGTTTTGTGTTATATAGTCAAGAACAGAAGGGTAATATGAAGAAGAAAAGGCCGAGGGATAAAGACGGATCAGATTCAGATCAACAACCACAAAAACGTCTGGAGTATGAGGCAGGAGGCAGCAATGTGTTTGATGAGGATATTGAATTGGAAGACGGATCTGAGCAGTCTGAGGAGGATTTTGAGCTGGAAGGGGGATTTGATGGTGGCCTTTTTTCAAAAAGCAACATTGAAGAATTCCAAAAGCTTATGAAAGACATGATATTACCTACTGGAATTCCAAAGCTGCCACCCAATCTGGGAGAAGCTAAACAAGGCACTTTGAAAGTCGCTCAGTGACTTAGCCTCTTTGCCTATGTCATTCCACTCATTGTGGTGGATCTTTATGTTGACAATGTCAATCAATTTGAAAAGAGTTCAATCCAAGGTCAGGTTTTATCCAACATTGGATGTCTATCTCAATGTACAAATATTGTATGTGTTATGATTGACATCTATCACTGCAGACATTATTCGGGTTCCCCAAGTGGGCAGGGAAAAATGATTGGGAGTATGATTTGTCATAAAATGGTCTATCACTCCACACCTGAGCCATAACACCCACACTACATATGTGTAGCAGGCTCAGTGAATATGTGGTTATCATGTACATACAGTTCTGCTCAGTTATCTGCTCATCAGGACAAGTTATTCATATGTAATACATGCTGTAACTTCTTTCAGATTGAAAAAAGCTTCCAAAAGATTGACTACATACACTGACTCAGTGTTTTGGTGTGATCTCATCAACTCAACTGCATGTAACACACTTTCTGTTACTAAGACATAGCTTCAACAATATTGCCTGAGCAGCTACAGAATTATATGTAGTGAATTTTTGGGAAAAAAAATTCAAAGTCGAAAAAGTTACATGTGGTATAACATGTGATTTATTTATTCTGATGGGCAAAAAACTGAGCAGACCTGTATGTACATGATAGACAACTATTGACTTAGCTTGCTGCACATATGTAGTGTGGGTGAAATGGCCCAGGTGTGCAGTATTAGATTATTTTATGAAAAACTGTACTATTAATCATTTTCCTCTGCCAAATTGGGGAAGTTGAATGATGTTTACAGTGTATGTGATAGTGTTGTGTTGTTGAATCATAGTTTATGCTAATATTATTCTATGTAACATTATCTTTATAACTGTATTGTCATTAGTCATATATATACTGTTAGTTGATTTGTTGTTTTGGATTGGTTTCTCTCTTCTTTACCTTTCCATTCAAGTCTAACATTTCCTTTCAGGTAAGAATGATTCAATGTAATGTTATACCTTGCCATTCAAGTCTAACATTTCCTTTCAGTGAGATTCATGCTTATCAGGTTATGAGCCCATCTCGGTGATTTTATAAGAAGAAATCTCTCAAAAACCGTCTTCGAAGAAGTAAAATCAAAACTTCGAATACGTTGAGGAAACCTTAGGAAAGGTCCGTCTGCATACAGACGATAAAGAACTATATCGATTGATCGATCAACCTCCGAAACCTTATACTTCATACATAAAAGTATTTGGAAATCATCTTAATTCTTCTGTATATCGCACCACTCTTGATACTTCAGAATCTAGTCATGGCTAATCCCACATCAACTACCGGTGAAAAACTACCGCCTTCGTCTTCTGGTCTTACTCCGGGTTCTTCATCACGTCTTAAGAATCCTCGAAGCGAGTCATCTACTCGTGAGATCTCATCTCGAGATTTAAAGCCAGTTGTGTCGTATTCACACGAAAAGCTTGATGCTACGGGTGTTAAATCACTCGAAGCTCCAGGACCATCTTCGAACTACCATCAATGGCAGTTTGCGATGGGTACGATAATTCGAGGCTCACCGTACGGATATGTACTTAAAGAACATCTCCCGAATCCTTTACCGGCGACTGAAGAGCATGATAGATGCAAAGTATCAGCATTAATTCTTCGCTATGTTGATTCATCTAATTACGAATATCTCTCACCGTATGAAGATGATCCACGAAGCCAGTGGATAGCTCTTCGAGATGCTCATCAAGATGCTTCGTCTGGTTCAATCATGTACTGGTTGAAGAAACTAGTAACGGCAAAGATGGGTGATACATCGATCACTGCTCACTTGGATGCGATGTCCTCCGATTATCAACGCTTCAAAGCATTGGTTACCGCTGAATGACCACTCACTGCAGACACAGTCTTCGCTACTGCTATTAGTTTGTCACTAACTTCTGATTGGCAGCCAGTGTTGGCTCCGTTACTTCAACGTGATAATCTTACTTCGACAACTGTACTAAAAGTCTTACGAGAAGAAGCTACTCGCCGGTCAATCTCCTCTGACGATGTAGAAGTCATTTCTTCGGCTAAAAACAAAAAGTCAAAGGAAATCGTCTGTTCGCATTGTGGTAAAGGAAATCATAATATTGATGACTGCAGGATTTTAAAGTCGAAGTTGAACAAGTATGAAGCATTGAAGGCGGAAAGGTCGGCAGCTGAAATATCAAAGTCCAAACCATCTAAAAATCAGATTCGTCGTTCAAAAGCAGCTAAAGCAAAGGCTGCTGCTGCGCTACATTCATCGTCGGATTCAGAAGGTTCAATTGATATAAATTCGGAAATTTCTGGGGCGGCTATTGTCAAAGCGTCTGCGGGAAAATCTAAAGGCTGGTTGATTGATTCAGGAACGTCACAGATGATGACACCTTACTCTGATGTCATGACGAACTTGAAGCCAGACGACACATTAATCAGTCTTGCAAATGGTTCAAATGTGAAAGCAACATCGAAGGGATTAGTTTCTTTACCTTTCTCTGATTTTGACGACATAAAATCTCTTTATGTACCGTCTCTTTCGGAACCTCTTTTATCGGTCTCAAAACTCGCCGATAAGAACATTTCCACGGTTTTTAATTCGTCCAAAGTTTCATTCATCAAAGATTGTAAAGTCTCTGGTAAACTTGTCGGGTCTGGAAAACGTGAAGGAAATTTATATTACCTCGATCAACAGGTACGTCAAACAAATTTCAAGGACAAATCGTCAAAAGCTTCAACTGCTGATGTAGAATTGTGGCACCTCAGATTTAATCATCCAGGTTATGCAGCATTAAAAAAGAAACTCTCAATGCTAAACATAAAGGTTGATGAAGTTGAATTACGAAAGTTACAAACATGTAAAATTTGTATTCAAGGAAAAATGAGGCGGCGAAACATGTCTAGCCGGGCGGGATGGAGATCTAAGAGCCCTCTTAGTGTGATTCATTCTGATGTCTCTTCGTATTCTGTTATTTCAAGAAAAGGCTTCAAATATTTTGTAACATTTATCGACGATTATACAAGATTTACAAAAATTTATCTAATGAAAACAAAAGATGAAGTTTTGTCAAAGTTCAAATTATTTTACAATGAAATGAAATCAAAAGTAAATTGTGAAGTGTCTGAATTGAGGTCCGACAATGGAACTGAATACATTAACAAAGAATTTTCTTTATTCTGTTCCGAAAGAGGTATTACTCAGACAACGGGTCCGCCTGATTCGCCACAGCTTAACGGTGTTGCAGAGAGATGTAACAGAACAGTTAAGGAGAAGGTTAGATGTTGTTTAATTGAAGCGAAGTTGCCGGATAGCTTTTGGGGTGATGCATTAGAATATGCAATTGAAACGCTGAATAACATGCCGACAAGAACAAATGAAAAATTTCAGTCTCCGATTTCTCTTATGGGTATTCATGAACGTCAAGAACATACGTTCCATTCATTTGGATGTGAAGTATGGTTTCATGTTATAAAACCAAAGTCGACGTTGAAACCAAGGGCACGTCGTGCTATTTTCCTTTCATATTTAAATAATAACAAAGGGGCTATAGTTTGGGATATAGAAAAGAAGCATGCTTTAAAAGCTACTTCTTTAATATTCCTCGATAAAATCTTTCCTGGATTAAAATCACATCCATCCAGCGAAATTTCTGAGCCAAATGTAAGTAGAATGCTTCCATGGCCAACTTTGGACGCTGAACAATCGAGCGTTCCATCAAACATTCTTTCATCTGAATCAAATTCGACTCCTGAAATCATCGTCTCTCCAATTCAAGAAGATGGTGTTTCAAGACCAATCAGGTCACGTCGTCAACCTGTTCGCTATGGTGAATTTGGTCGAGCGGCATATGTCGAGTCAGAGAAAGATCCTGCGACTTTTAAAAAGGCTAAGAAGAGTGCTAACTGGGATCTTTGGAAGTTAGCAGCTGAAGCCGAGATGAAGTCGTTAGTAGGTAAAGAAACCTGGAAACTGGTTCCACGACCTGCTAGAAGAAAAATTATCAGATGCAAATGGATTTTTAAAACTAAACGAAATGTTGATATGTCTGTCGACAAACTCAAAGCACGACTCGTAGCATTAGGGTTTTCACAAATCAAAGGTGTTGACTTTTCCAAAGTTTTCTCTCCGACTTCTCGTCAGGAATCCATCAGACTCTTTCTATCATTAATGGCAAAGAATGGTTGGAAGGGTGTTGCTGTCGATATAAAAACTGCATTTCTAAATGGTGATCTTGATGAAGAGATCTATATGGAACAAGCAGAAGGTTTTGTAGATGATGAACATCCAGATTGGGTATATAGAATTCTTAGATCACTTTATGGTTTGAAACAGTCACCAAGGCAATGGAACATCAAGTTACATGAATATTTAATTTCAATTGGATTTATTAGATCAGTCCATGATCCGTCAATTTATTACAAGAAAAATGAAGATGGTGATATTAAATCAATGCTTGTTACTCATGTTGATGATATTGCAGTTACTGGAACTGATGAAGAAATCAAAGATTTTCGACAACTAATCAGAAAACGTTTTGAAGTCTCATCTGACAAGCCACTTTCTCATTTTTTATCCTTAAACATTTCAAAAGTAAAAGATAACAAAATATCTGTCGATCAATCACATTATATTACAAATTTACAAAAAGAATTTTCAAAATTCGACTTAAAGCTTTCATTATCGCCAAGTGATGACTCTTTCAAAACGTTAGTACCGTCGACTGATGATGATGTGGTGACTGAGTGTCCGTATTCGAGCTTAATAGGGGGTTTGTTGTGGGTTGCCCAATGCACACGGCCAGATGTGGCGTCTGTGGTTAATAGATTATCTCAGTTCTTAAAAAGACCATCAACAGAACATTGGAATTCAGCGTTGCGAGTGTTAGGTTATTTGTGTAGAACGAAGGATTTGAAGTTGAACTTAGGAGGTAGTGATTTGATTCCAGTTGCGTATTCAGATGCTGATTGGGCTGAAGATCTTCATGAAAGAAGATCAACAACCGGTTATGTTTTTAAGTTGGGTATTGGTCCGATCTCATGGAGGTCTCGAAAGCAAAGGACAACTTCTCTGTCCAGTACTGAATCAGAATACATGGCGATGAGTGACTCATGTAGGGAAGCGCGTTGGTTAGTATCTTTGTTGAATGAGCTTAATATTTCAAAAGAAAAGCAATTTAAGTTGTGTGTGGATAACGAAGGAGCTGAAGCTTTGGCACAAAATCCGTCTCATCATTCAAGAACCAAGCATATTCATACTAGATATCATTTCGTGCGGCAATGTGTTGAAGATGGTATTGTGAAATTGGTTCATGTCTCTTTGTTGAATATGATGGCTGATATGTTTACAAAGGGTTTATCAAAATTATTACTAATCAAACATAGATTATCATTAAGTATTTATTAATCTGGTTATTAGCACGGGGGGTGTTATGATTGACATCTATGTGATAGTGTTGTGTTGTTGAATCATAGTTTATGCTAATATTATTCTATGTAACATTATCTTTATAACTGTATTGTCATTAGTCATATATATACTGTTAGTTGATTTGTTGTTTTGGATTGGTTTCTCTCTTCTTTACCTTTCCATTCAAGTCTAACATTTCCTTTCAGGTAAGAATGATTCAATGTAATGTTATACCTTTCCATTCAAGTCTAACATTTCCTTTCAGTGAGATTCATGCTTATCAGTATGTGAAAAGAAAGTATTGAAATACAAAGCATCAATGTTTGAAAAGTTTTATTGACAATATAAGAAGAGCTCAAAAAAAATATTGAAAAATGTCATCAACCATCCAAATCATCATTATGCTCTTCATATACCGGATCAAATCAGGTGCTGGGGCCCCCTTATATTTGTGGCTGAATTTGCTGGAGAATGGTTGATAGTTATATCACAAAAGATTCCTACAAACAAACAACTATGTAAGTATGTTATATATCTACATATTGTTCAGTGATACTGATTGTACCTTTCAAAATCAGCTCAAATGGATGGTACCATCATGACTTGTTTTAGTCAGTGGCAAATGCAAGAGTGCAACTATACTATACCCGTATCGGTATAGATGGGTATTGTAACGGGTTGCGGTACTATACTGGCTATGAGTATAGTATTGGTCCTTTGTACTATACTACATGTGTAGCCAGTATAGTAACGGATTTTAAATCTATACTTTGGGAGTATTGCCTATACTCCCAATATTGGAAGAATCTAACTTATCAGGTCGCTGGTCAACAACACCTGATTCATATCTCACTCACAACCGATTGATCCAGCTCGACTATCAACAACATCAGCAACAACAAGTCTATCGTCACATCTCACTTATTCAACCTTAACAAGATCCCACAACTCCATCCACTCAAGTCGCACTTCAAGGTACTTAAACAACAAAAAGCAGCTGTTGATACTAAAAAACTTAAACTTATAAAACAACGACCTAAACACCCTCAATCTACATCGATCGGCAGTCTGTTTAAGCATTCAAATATTGTAAGATCTCTTATTATTATGAAATAACATTCAATTCCAATCATTTCACTGATGTTCTGTATTGATGTCAATTCCTCAATCCAATTTGCAGCTCAATTAATTCAAGTTAAACAACCAGCTCCTCACCTGACACACTCAAGCTTTGATCCTGCCCAACTTCCTCTTATCTGCAAGCAAAGGTTTTCAGCTTCTTGACTGGTGCAAGAGCGAAACCTTTGTGACATTTTGATTATACAAACTGGTGTTGTCAATGATCATTTGTTAGCATTGGTCAACTCGAATCAATAACAATATTCGATCTTATCAGACACCTCCCAATGTCACAGCAACACCAATCACAATCTCAATCGGGACCATCTGCCGCTTCTCGCGCGGGGATCCCTCTCCAAACTTCACAGAGGCCATCGAGGCAGCCGAACCATACCAGAGATGTCAGCGAGACTAACGAAGCGTCAGATCTGCCAGAGACAGATATGGGTTTGGAGAACAATCCACCACCTGTGCCACTTCGTCGAAGCAAGAGAGTGTCATCAGTTGCCCAGTCAGACTGCTCCTCTGCGGCTGAGCCTTCTGCAAAGAGGACAAAAAAGTCAAGATCAACTCCAAAGAAGACAGCGAAATCTGCAGCGAAGAAAAATGGTCAAAGTAAGAAGAAGACTGTTGGACAAGCTCCTGCGCAAACTACAGCTCTTGAGGTAGGCTCTTTTATCGCAACTATAATTTGTTACTCATACTGAACAGTTCAATAATAGCTTGATAAAACAGTGATCAACTTGGCCCAAGATTCTGGAGCAGAAAACTGTCGATCACATGCTCCACGAAGGTCAAAATCAACAGTACTTGCGACTGAACCAATCTTGGACTATTTTGAGGGGCCTATCCGTCCAAAGGAGGATGTGAGCCATATCTTCTATACAACCTTTGCCTTACTAACTCGTGCTGATCACCTCAACCTCTGAAATAAATAGCCTCCAGATGCAGAACCAACTTTATACCATTGTAAATGGTGCAATCAGGATGTGCGGGGTGCAGTCTCATCAAACTCGAATCTTCTGGCCCATCGTGATGGATCAAAGCAGAGTTCAAAGTCGGGTAATTCATCATGTAATAAACGCGAGGAGGTAATAGATTCTGGCCTATCTCTTCCTTCCACTGTGGCCGAACTTCGTGAAATCAAGAATGCTACCAATAGTGGATTTTTACCAATATCAGAAGCATCTTTAGCTGCGATAAAATGTCAATCAAAATTCAACAATCAAGTATTGAATCAAATGGTGCTACTTTGGATGCTTCGAAGAGCATTACCTTGGTCAAGGATAGAAGATCCTGAACTTTGAGCCTCGTTCCGATACTCAAATCCAAGTGCTCATCTCTATGGTCGACAATGGGCAGCCCTTCAAGCCCATCGGCTATACTTGGTGCTCAGTGAGAAAGTTATTGGGCAATTAAAGGTATGTTTACCGTGTTTTCTGATTTCCAGCCAAAAATCTCAAACATTCCTCCCTTTCACATACCAGAACAACACAAGCATGTTTAAACTGCAACATGATGCCTGGACCACAAAAGGGAATCGATACGCATTCCTGGGGTATTTGGTCTCATACATTGGCGAGGATTTTACTTATATCTCCCATCATCTTGGTCTCAAGCTCATATTGTGGTATCACAAAGGGGAATGGCTCTCTGCTCCAATGGTTAACTTTTTGCAGAAGAATGGCCTATATTCACAGATAAGTCTTCCACATTAATTCTCTTCCCCAGGTCTTTTTAAATCCTTTACCAAATCTGATTATATATGTGTTACTGTTTCTACATGCTTTCTCAGACCACTGATTCTGGGTCTAACAACAATACAATGGCAGCTGCAATGCAGAAATCTCTGGAATCAATTGCTGAGAGCGAAAACAAGAATTATTCCTGGAATCCCAACACTATGCATGTCCGGTGCTTCGCGCACAAACTTGCACTTGTTGTCAATAATGGCCTCGCAGCTCTTGGCATTCAAGGTCGGACTGGAAAAAGCGTTCAAGATCTTGCCCAAGGACAATTTCCACTCAACAATCACTTACAGACCATTCCAGAGGAATCAGAGGACGAAATCATAGCTGCCAAGTCTAACCCACCTGTAATTCCAGCAGATCTGACTGAACTTGACCCAGATCCGACTGAACTTGAACTTGAGCATGATGAGCTTGAGCTAAATGGAACTCTTGACCCTTCCTTTTTCAACAACATTGCCGATCAACCTGAATTAGAGCTTGAA